GGACACCAGGGAGATGTGGAAAGGGCAGTGGTGGGGGAGAGAGAGATCTGGGAACCCCCCACTTCAGTTGGGACTCTCAGTGGTGAACCTCTGTGTCGGGAATCAAACCTGCTGACTTGGTGGGGGATGTAGAAACAACAGAGAGATGACGGGTAGGTCGCAACCAAAGAAGAAAACAGCCGTGACGTATAATGAAAATATATATATTGATGGAGAGCAGGTGCGTCTTGCCCTGGCCACGGTGCTGGCCCAATCCAACTGTTTAAGTTTCTTCAAGGTTTCCTCAAGCTGAGAGGGCATCAGCTCTTCGTTAGGTGAGGACATCGGCACTCCCAATGGAATTTTTCCGGTTTTTTTCCGGGCCTTCACATCTCTCGCCCTCCCGCTCATGGCTGTCAGATTGTGAGTGTGGTAGAACAAACTGTCCTGCTCCAGACACAGGGCGGAGCATTCGGTCCTGTCCTGAGTAGAGGTCAGGCCAAGGTCTGGGGGAGTGTTTGCCTTGAGGGAACACAGCTTTGGACCGATGCCAGACGGGGGCCTGTTCCGCCTGCCTTTCTGCAGTCCATGAGGTGACCACTGAGTGAGACGCTGCCCGGGGGTTGACAGCAGCCCTCAAGGAACGGAGACTGTCTGTCTGTTCCCCGTGTGGCTGCCATGCCTCCGTGGAGTCAAGTTTCACAGGCCTTTGTCGCTCTGACCGGCCTGTCCTGCATGGCCCGCATGGAGCCCGGCCTCCCCTAAAGCCAGGCGGCTGGGCGGAGGAAGCATGGGAAGGCCGAGGGGTCCTTACAGCACAAAGGACCGCTCAGGATTGTGCTTCTAGTGGGGGTGTTAGAGCTGGGAGCAAGCCAGGGCCTGAGGCGGCCTGCAGAATGGCAGCAGGACTCTCTGTGGCACGCCTCTCCCTCGCTGATGGCCACAGGCATAGACGGCTCTAAAAGGGGACTAGACAGATTAACGGAGGGGAGGTTATCGGTGTTTACTGGCCACGGTGACTGAAGGGAACCTCCAGGTTCAGGGGCACAAAACCTCTGAAGTCCAGAGCCAGGAGGCCACATCAGGGGAAGGCCTCAGCCTCGATGCCTCGTTGTTGGCTGTCCGGATGAACCAGCTGGCCACTGTGTGAGACACGATGCTGTGAGAAAGACGGACCACTGGTCAGACCCAGCAGGGCTCTTTTGTGGTTCTTCTCAGGGGAAGGCCTCGGCCTCTCTGCCCTGCTGTTGGCCCTCCAGAGGAACTGGCTGGCCCCTGTGTGAGACGGGAGGCTGGACTGGATGGACCCTCCCTGGTCTGACCCAGCAGGGCTCTTCTGAGGTTCTTATCAGGGGAAGGCCTCGGCCTCTCTGCCCTGTTGCTGGCCCTCTGGAGGAACTGGCTGGCCCCTGTGTGAGCCTGGTGGCTGGGCTAGATGGACCCTCCCTGGTCTGACCCAGCAGGGGGTCTTCTGAGGTTCTTATCAGGGGAAGGCCGAATGCACCCCCGAAAATGGCTCATTCGGACCCCTTTTGGGCTGCTGCAGGCCGATTCAGATTCTTTGATCTGCATCGGCTTGCAGCCGAATTGCTGCTGAATTTCAGCGGCAATTCGGACTCATTATACCCCATGGTCCATTAAAGTCAATGGCGAAAACATAGGGTATATTCTGGGGGCTGGAGGGGAGGGGGGTTGAGAACACTGGAGGGGCTAGGGGG